TAGCTGAAAAAGAAAACAAGAATTCGTTAGAGAGTAGATGTACAAAGGACTTCAAAAGCACAAAGGAATTACAAGCAGATTGCTGGATGAGGGGACAAGAAGATCATTAATTTGTTCACTGTAAATCTCAAGGAAGGAACATTTGCAGCTATACTTAAGTTTTTCATCCCTCCTGCTTTCTTCCTCCTGCAAGGGAAAAAATGAATAAAAATTAATTACCGAACTTTTAAAAACCCCAAATGAAATAGCATTAACCCACTTTTGATATTTTACCACTTTGATTCTTGCAAACAAGAATTCAAATATTCTTGGTATAATTCCACGGTTCAGGTTAGGCTCCACTTCCAGCTCTCCAATCTCACCAAGCATTGTATATGTCTTCCCACTTCCGGTCTACAGTACCAAAACGAAGAACAGGAGATGATTATGGGAAGCTTACTTGACAAACCCCTCAAAAGATTAAAAAAACTAGCATCTATAGCATGGTATTCATAAAAATAAAAGATACCTGTCCATATGCAAACACACAACTATTATATCCAGACATGCAATTCTCAACCATCGGCAGACCAGCAACTCGGAAAAGCATCTCCTGCAAATCATTTTCAGGATACTGATTAGATAGGATCTGATTATTATCTTTGTTTCTATAATTCATAATAAAATACCTGATTTATTGTTTCACATGCTACATAGTCAAATGTGAATCGGGTCTCTGGTTGCCCAATCCAAGTTATGTTATGAGCACTTTCTTGCTTCAAGCATCTGCGAAAATCTTGCAGGCTTTTCTCTGTGCTATTGAGAGGACGAACACGAATTGCAACCTACACAAAATTATGAAAAGTGTTTAATACTTTCTTTTGTTAATCCTGTCACAGACTTATCAAGATATCTGGCTTATATGGTTGAGCTAGATGCACACCAAAGGTCCTTATAAACAGATGTAGTTCTCCAGACAATGAGGTTGTCCAATAGGTCACTTTGATTTATTACGTCTATCAGCTATCATAATTGCACTAATCAGTGATACCTCACAGCAAAGAATCTACACTCCATTCTAATACATTAATGAGAACAGAAGGTCAATTTTTTCTTAAAACTACATCATGCTGCAATAGATCAGATGTATATCACTTGAAATAATCGTAAACCAAAGCTCACATTTACTACTATTTCCTGCAGTCCCTATAAAAAATTGGCACCAAGTTTGATGACTAATCTAATGTTAACGGAAATGTTCAATTTTAAATGTGAAAAAAATATAGCAACTTGTCATCTCATCAAGTGAACTTTAAGAGATTGTGATAGTGCGGTCTCGCAAAACAAAATATACAAGTAGCAGTAAATTTTGTCATCTTTTGCAGGATATTAAAAAATGAGGAATATGACAAAGAGCAGATGTCTAGAGATGCTAAGACATCCAATCTACACTAATGATCCATGGATTCCTCCAAATGAGGAGCTAGTTCAGACTAGTATAATTGAAGTATCAATGTCAAGGGTTGGATAAGAGGAAGAGCAAAGTTATTCCTCCAATATTACAGCATTTATGTTGTTAGCCATCACGATGGTTGTGATTTTCATATGCCTTCTCTAAAAGAATAAATCATTTGGTAGGAAACATAATCATAGTTACACATCTTTTTTGTAATATTTGGTATCTTTTGACAGAAGAACTTCTCGAGTGCAAAAACATTCCTCTTATTTTTAAGTGACAGGCGATCTTATAGATGCAAGGAGGAGCTAAAATGGACTGAAAATACTTGTAGATGAAATGGCGATCTCCAAGGTCAGTGAAAAGTCTTAGTTTCCTTAAAAAGACATGAAGGTGAGAATAAACCAAAGCTTGAACTAAAAACTTATGGTTACAAAGCTGAAAAAAGATGAAAACAAATACAAAACATTATCCAAAGTTTAGGACTTTGTGACAGATTATCTTAGACCTGTCCATAGCCCAAATGCTGACGATTAATAAAACATGCTGTAATATTTATGGTAAAGATGCTCGAGTGAAGGAAATCTTGTTACTAGAAGCATCATTCTACAAATTCGGTTAAGCTACTGATGTGACAGAGTAATTAGGAGAGTTAACGATACCTACTTCATGCTTTCTAGTATTAATGATCGACATCATCAAGCTCCTGGTGCAAGTATATATGTGTATGTGCTTTGTGATTAAGGATGGTTTCGCAGTCCTAAAGTACGTGACCAATACACAGTTATTCTATGTTCCACTTTCAACCATTAGAATATTTTCATGCTAGTATGTCACAAAGTTGAACAATTCAATTTTGCACAATTTGAGTTTTTATTTTGCATTTGATGTTGAATGTAGAATTCAAATATGAAACTCCTAGGCTTAACGTGACCTAAAGTTCACTACCTGCACATTGTTGTCCATCCAGAATGATGGATCCTCTTGGAGTTCGAAGTGAGGAACTTCAACTGAATCCACAACAGGAGGAATGGACGAAATCTGTGTCGGTCTTGATGTCACTCCAAGGCTCATTGTTCGAGTCCCTGCACTAATTGGAGGGCGGGATTTGCCGAACCCATAGTTGGCAAGCCTGATAGCACTCTTCGTCGGAGTGCCCTGAGTGGAACTGCAATCCGATTGCACGGACGATGCCTTCGCGGCCGTCTTAGACGTAAGGGTAGTATTCAAGCCGTGTTCATCCCCGAGGCCTAATCTTCCGCCACGGCTCAGCGGCGGGAATTGGTTTCCAGGACCTCTGTAGCTAGAATCGTCATCAGTCTCCCTACCGATCACTCCAGGCTGACTCTTCGGGCACAAACTGAGCCTGTGCCGAGCTACCATTCTCTCTGGGGTGCGAAACGGCAAGCCAGGCAAATCCGAACCCTTGGTATGGTTCTTGGAGGTCGTTGCTTCCGGTTTTCCTCTCAAAATCGCGCCTTGATCGAACCCGATCTTGGGGTTCTGCACCGGCTCCTGGATCGCTAGCAGAGGAGGCCGAGATGGATCGGATTCCAGCCGCGAGGACGACGAATCGCATGGATCCACCGGGGGGAGGTTTTCATTATTAGTCTCGGGGGTGGGAGCCCTGCTGGAGCTCGAACTTTGGCGAAATGTCCTCAAATCCTTCAACATCCTAAAAGAAAATTTCGCACATTAAGAACACGAAAAGGATCAAAACAAGCTTCAAATTCCGCAACCGAAAAATCAGATGTGACAAGTTTACCTGAACGAGGAATTCAAGAACAAGATCCGGAGGCGAAGAATCCTGCTGAAATCCGTTTGTTCTCGATCTGATACCTAAAGAAAACTAGGTCACCAGGGTTTCCGAACGAAATTATTCGCAGCTCTCGTAGGATTGGGAGAGTGGATAAGGAAGAAGAAACCCTGATCAGGGGAGATTGGGGAGACAGATCTCGGTGGCAGAAGTGGAACTCCTTGTCTCTTTCTTCTCTCTCAGAACTCGATGGAGTGAGACGGGACGACAAAAGAGGGTTCGACAAATTTAAAACCGAAGAAGAGGGAGGGCAATACGGACGGCAGAGATTCGATCAGAATTTGAAATTGACGGTGATTCGAGGATGACGGGTTTGAAGTGTAGGAGCATTTTGGGAAGGAAAGGAGGACGAAGATTCGTTGCCTTTATTTACTCCGATTTAAAGCACAGCTTGCAACGGCTACTTCAGACGTCCAGTTCCTTCAAAAGAAATCCAAGGGTGGGAAAGACCCTTCAACTGTAACATCTCGACCGTCCACTGAGTCGGCCCCATCTGGGTCCACTGACGTCCTTCTTAAACGAACCGTCCGATCTGCGATATACCTCCACAATTTACACCCGGAGTAATGTTCTACGTGTTTGTTTCTTGGTGCAGGAGACGGCCTCATTACTTACCCAAAAAAACAGAAAAAAGGTTGTTGATCAAATCATTTGTCCTTATGGTAAAATGATAATTGTGGATTCTGTTGCTAATTACATATCATCCACTTAGTTAGACCTCTTCACTAGATTTAAAATATTTACATTTGAATTTTTATATTATATTAGAATCTTTATAAATATGAAAGCGAAATATCTAATTTCATTTATCAAACGTCGTCGATTTTACCGTCGAAAGCACAAAAATGATGGGCAAAAAGATAATTTCAACGTCCTAGTTCTGTGGTGACGAATGACAATATCGTTAGGGGCCATGGGTGACTGTTATAAATTAAGAGAAAGAACGATGACAATAAAAAAAAAAGAAGAGGACAATATAGATGTCGATACTCTGCATTTGTGTCAACGTCGCTCAACAACTATATTGATGCCAACACAAATGTAGAAAGACGAAAGGGCCGCTCAGCATCTACATTAGCACCAACGTAGAGGTAGAGCAATATGACTCTATTATTATGTCAACATCGACATTGCTTAACAATTGCATCAGCACCAATGCAATTTCGAGAGACACCGACGTAAATGCAAAGCATCGACATCTACGTTGTCCTCTTCCTCCTCTCTCTTTGTCTCACCTCTCGTCGTCTCTCTCCCTCCTCTTCCACAACGGTCAACCATGACCCACAACGACATCATTATCCACCACAATTGAAAACATAACTAGAACATTGAAATCACATTTTTATCTATTATTTTCGTGTTTCCGTCGAGAAAACCGACGACATTAAAATAAATAAAACTAAAGATTTCTCATTCATAATTATAAAGATTCGAATATAAATTTTTTGAGTCTAAAAATCAAAATATTAAAAAGATCTAACTATATAATTAACCCATATTATCCAAACAAAATATAATAATTATGGATAAAATTTTAATTTACATTAATATCTTTATAAATATTAGAGGCATATTTTAAACCTTTTATAGAGTTCTTCTTCAACCCAGGCAAATTACTTTTAATCATCATAAAGTATTTAGCTTGAGATGGATGTTTCACTAAGATGTATAATAAAGCACCAAAGCAGTGAAACTAAAATACAAGCTAAAGATACAACAACATCAGTCACTCAAGGATCTTATCCCTAATGTGTAAAACTGTAACAAGACAGTTCTCGAATGATCTGGAATTACAATCTTAAGTGATGCTGTTTAGTACATCAATATCAACTACACAACAGATTCAACCAAACTGGCACATACAGGAAATAAATGCAACCATCCCATCAATGGTGAAAACATCATTCAAGAGACATCTCAAGTGAATGCAGTAGTTGAAACTTTCAGGGAAAAGGAACCCCTAAATGTATGACCATAACCACTCAGATTTTTAGCTGCTTGTAAACTTGCACAAGTGAGAAGCATTTCACTAGATACCAAGCAACAACTTCATGAGGCCACCAGAGTACATTTCATTATAGATCAGGTTGGACAAGATATGAAATAATGCAGCTCAGCTTCTATAGTGATTTTGAGTATCCACCTTTCCTCCAACCTGAAGTGGTCACTTACGACCTAAATAAATTCTGCTTGAAAGTTGAAACTACTCAACAGGAAACAGAAAACTCCCTTCTTAGGTAGTATTGTTAACATCCCTCACTAGGTCTGAAAAAAACCTTCCTTTTTCACATGATTATCATTACATCAAATATGCAGCTTTTTTTCTGACACCTCCTTTGTCACATGCTTTGGTTCTCTTTCTCAGAGTAAATCATCTCAAGAAAAATGATAGGTTGCACAAAAAAGAAAAGGAAAAAACCAATGCTGGCTGGATAATGATGATTTTTCTTTTTTAAGCCTTTGTTCTCATTATTCCCAGGCATTTACCATATGAACATCTGAGAAAACCACCAGATTGATCCTGCAGATTCAGAAGTACAGCATCAAGATAATGTACTGATCATTCACTGATTGACTGAAACATGCATCTTAGTTGTCAAATAACAACAACAATTGTTGAAAAAAAACAGTGGAGAAACTTTCTAAAAATTTAATGGACAAACGTTGCAGTCAACCTCATCTATTAAATGGAATTTGTTGAGAAGCAGAGAATATATCAAGAAAATCCAAGCACACTTTGCGTTGCATTTGGTTCATGGATGGTGTCTGAGATTTTTGAAGGGGGCCAGTAACGCAGAACTGTCCTTCCAAGAATGTTTTTCACAGGAAGTGGCCCCCTGAAATATGAATGGAATATTTATTAGATAATGACAATTGGTATGTAGTTTGGAATGAGAATTTTCAGAATTGCAAGCATAAAACTATGAATCCGTTACATTGATCTCAACACTCACCAGTTGTGAGAATCAAAGCTGTTGTTGCGATTATCACCCAATACAAAGACATAGCCTTCGGGGATAAACTGTAAGGAACAGCAGCAGACAGCAATGAGTTAGCATATAAACCAATGTTAGTTTTCTGGGGAATTAGATTCCAACTGAAAATTCTCTGAGCTTATTCATAGTGTAAACAATCAGAAAGTACAAACAAAGCTAAAATCTCATATGTAACCATGTAGCCTAACAAGTCCAATAACATATCTCTGGTAATGCAGAAGCTATTCATTTCCATCGAGGACAACAATTTATGCAAAAGAACAAAAGTCATATAGACTTAGTTAAGGCCATGACAATAATCTGCTTTTCTGTTCATTAGCAGGTAGACAAAATAACGCATCAGTTCTTCCATTCAAGGTTTCAAATATCAGTCTGACACCAGTTTCATTAATCATCAAACCAGCACGACACAAAGATGTCGACCAATATACCGATCTTAACTTCCCAGAATCACTCGAGAAAAATAAGACAAGGAAGAACATAAGTGGTATACAAAACGACATTGACTGTTAAAGGCTGTTATTGATGCTTGGTCAAACTGATGAATACTGAACAATACATATTAGATTGACTATTATCTGTAACCTTGCTTCCATCATTCGTTATTGATGTTAAAGGCTGTTAAAGGCTGTCATTGATGCTTGGTCAAACTGATGAATACTGAACAATACATATTAGACTGACTATTATCTGTAACCTTGCTTCCATCATCAGAGCTAACAATCAATGTCAATGCTTTTTTTCTCTTGTTGAAGTTTTAAACATGAGCCCACCAAAAATCTACATCTTCAGCACATCCCAAATGAGATTCAATATAACAGTGGTTACAAACCAACAATATTTCTCATGAAGTCATGCTAAATTATAATAACTAGGAAACCAATGGACCACATAATATAGTATCTAAGACATGTTACATGCAAAACTTTCCAACTTTTTTTTCCTTCAAGCCACTTCTAATAGTAAATAGAATTTTAAAAATAGCAGTAAAACATTTCAAAGCAACCAACGGGAAGCTTGCCATACCACTGGTTCCATTTCATACTCAAGTGGTTCTAGAATGAATTCCTCATCTTGGATGATACCATTCACCAATAATTTACCATCACGTACCTAAAAATGAGGGACAAATGGTGGCTCAGTAAGCTTTAAAAATAGTACAAAATTACAGACAAAACTATGGAAATCACTACGATGAGACTAGAAGTTTACTTCAACATAGTCCCCAGCCTTAGCCACAACTCTTTTGATAAAGACATCACCTGAACTATATCCAAATTGCTGCACAGAATACACATACATAATAATTGTTGATCAGAAAAGCTTGTAACAAGTACAAACATACAGAATCAGATTACATTAAATTGAATAATCCTACAACAAAAGGAAATTGAAAGATACCTGTAGAATCAGTGGTGCTGTGAATATAACAATGTCAGTAATCTCAGGCTCCCGAAAGCAATAGGAAACCTGCAGATTTAGATTGTCCAGTAGTAAATGGCACACCAATGACTTAACATTGCATTTCAAACAAATATCTAACAAACAAAAAATAAAAAAGAGAAAAATGGCTTCTATACTGAAACTGAGACTAAAAAGAAATGTTAAGAAACAAAATTCTTACTTTCTCAGCTAGAATTCGATCTCCGACATCAAATGTTGGATACATCGATCTTGTGGGGATCGATCTAGGCTCGGCCAAGCGTGACCCATACAGCAGGGGAACTGTCAAAGCAGTTAAAAACGTCTTGGTTTCCTCCGAACAGGAACTCATCCACCGTGAAAACCAACAATTTCTGTCGCCCGAGCTCCTGCTGCAACAATTGCTCTCGAAGCGTTTCATCATAGGCACAGTGGGAGAAGAGATAGAGCTTTCTGTGTGTTCACTAGCATGCACAGAAGGAACAGTTCCTCCTTTGGTCTCATCTCCAGTAGGGCGTGAAGTAGTCCTCGCTCCTTGATCCATCGGGCTACCTCCTCCCGATCCTGGGAGGAAGTCACAACAAGGAAACCACTTGGTCGCCTGGAAGAATGGGATCAAAGACGAGGGCTTGAACCCCATCGACATCGAGGATGCGACGCCGAGTGCGCCGACGCCACCCAGCGAGCCGGAGCCAGGGGAGATGGCGGACAGCAACCCCACGACGAGACAAGCCTTCCGGTCCTTGGCCGCGGGATCCGAGGAAGGGGAGGAGGATGAGGCGGCATCCGAGGGCGCCTGGGAGCAACTCCGGGTCCTCGATTGGGGGCGGTAGTGGGAGTCGCGATCGGAGAAGTGGCCAGCGAAGAGGGCGCCGAGAGGCCTGCCTGCGGACTGGTGGAGGAAGCGGCAGCGGATTCCGGCGGCGGCGGCGAAGTTCTGAGCGAGGTAACCGGAGTGGTAGATGGTGTGCCGGACAGCCATGGTTGCGAGATCTGGAGGTGAACAGCGAGATTTGGGGTCGTTGCGTCTTCTCTCTCTCTCTCTCTCTCTCTCTCTCTCTCTCTCTCGCTCGCCCTCTGTGGAAAGGGAAGAGAGGACGCGGTGCAACTCCAAACGAAGGGGAGAAAAAAAAGAGGGCGAAACGGGTCATTTATTGGAAGGCTTCGTATTTATGTTTGAACCGCGTCGTCATAGAACCGGCCACTCGCCGGTCCACCAAAATTATGGGTCGGGTCAGTTAGACCGTATATTTAATTATATTAATGCATGTACATAAATACACATTTTCTCTTCTCTCATTTTTTTCTTTTATCTATTTTTATATTTTTAAAAAAATATTCTCCTTTTTTTTCTTGTTTTCAATTTTTATTAGAGCAATATTTTTTGATGTAAAATTTATTTAAACACCTTATTCACTATCTAAATTTATCGAAAAAGTTAAGAGGATTGGATAATTTTCTTTGTATAATGTAGAAACTAAAAAATTCCATACTAACTTCGATCGATCGATCTAAGTTACTTCTTTTGTATTTTGTGGATTGGTTTTCAATTTTTATAAGAATTGAATTTGATTTTGATAACTATAAATAATATGATAAGTATTGGAGGATTACATCATATACTAGTACTAGTTTTAGCTCACTAAGAAATTGACTACAAATATATTAATACTTGAACTTAAATAAGTACAGAACTCATCTTAAATGCATCATTCCACAGCTAGCAAGTAAACCTATGAGGCTATACTTATTTCTATAAATTCCTTTGACTTGTAGCACTTCAACTACATTTCTCAAACTCAATCAAGAATTCATTGAATTTGGATGCTTAGTGTTGTGGCTTTGACTAGACCAAGTCTAATTATGTGCACAAACTGTAAGCATAGGTGTCCTAGAAAAGATCACCTAAAATTGGTCCAAATCCACACTGTGGGGTCCATTACTTCTCCATCCACCACACCTTGAGGACACCCATGACCATGGAAGCTGGTCGAGATGAGGGCAGGGGAACATAAAACAAGGTGGAGATCATGCAAATCCAGATGATGATGTAAGGACATGCGCAATAAGAGCATGAATTGACTGAGTCAAGCTGAGACAAACCAAGGTTTTGACATTTGAACAACATGAGAGCTTTGCCTCTGAATCAGTAAATGATGTTGCCACTTTAAACAAAAGCATTCAGGAAGACATTTTGGTGCCCAAATGGTTTGTCAATGAACTAGGCAGATGCAACATTAGAACATTAGGTAAGCTTTGAATTGATGGCAAGCTTTACATATGTATGTGTATTTAAAAGACAACCCAAAAGATCTGTGTTGCTTGCAGTTTTGGCTCATAGAACAATGCTTAATGAAGGAGAAACCATTGACAAGAGAACAAAGTGAGAAAGACCACCAAAGATGCAGCTTCCATGATCTTATGTTGGCAACACCAACTCTGTTGGTAGCAGGTCAAATTGTGCCACCACAAAGACTGGATCCAGAGAAGTTGAATTCCTTGTCAAAGAATATGATAAGTTTAGCACACATGTCTTGTAACTCTGTTAAGTATCCATGGCTGAATTTATTCAACAAGAAAAAGGAGACAAAGAGGAAATAAATCTTTACTGCAGCAAAGTATCTTTTTTTTCATTCAAAAAGATTGGATGATTACCTAGTAACCAAGTCTAGAATCAGTATATTTGTGCTTTTCTTTCCTCCAGTGCACAGAATATTTTGTTGTGTATGAACAGGATAGTAAGTAATAGTCCAATGTAAAACCATAATATATACACACATGAATATATATGTTGTGAATGTCAATAAACTTTGCATCTGTTTTGATCTTCACTGGTTGGTGGAAGACAGCTTCTTGGGAGTTTCTTAGCTTCTTGGGGGGTTTCCATGGTGATTCAAACAAAGGAGGACAGATTGACCAAAGTGGTTGATAGGTGTTTTATACAGATGATTAAGCAAGCATTGTTTATACAGATGAGGAAGATTCATGTTCATGATGTCTTACATAACTTTATGCTGACTATTATATATTTATTATTTATAATATTTATCACTTACATGCGATTTACAACTCCAGTTTTAGTTAGAAAGCACATCTGAACTCAATTAGGATCTCAAATTAACTTGCTAATCTGTCCTATATTTCAACTTATTATATATTCTAGACTTCAAATTTTCCCTCACCTGCACCAGAAGAGGATATGGGCTCTATGGCAGCCTCCATCCTCTCCCTCACCTTATCCTTTGCCACTCTCCTCTTAAGACACACCTCTCCGTTCCCGACATGCACCGCGCGGTGCTTCGCCATGGTTGTCAGCTCCCTGAGATCGCCGCCGCGCAAGAGGAGTCAGGGCGGCGGAGCGCTGTCCTCCACCTGCAATGCCACGGAGGAGATATTTAAGATTGCGGCCATAATGAATGGCCTCGTGCTGGTCGGCGTTGCGGTCGGCTTCGTGCTGCTTCGGGTGGAGGCGTCGCTGGAGGAGGCGGAGTAGGCCACGGCAGGCCCGTTTGTGTCTGCATGCTAATTGTTTGTTGCTTTGCTTTCAAGAAGTTTTCGTCAGCCGAAAAAACCAGGATGTCGATCAAGTAAATAATCTTTGGAAGAAATGGGTATTATTATGTAATAAAATTGTCATGCAAAGTATAACCAAATTTAATCATTTTACTTAAAGTCAATGTAGAATCGGCGGTGGGCAATTGGTTGACCATAAAACTACAGAAAGTCCACCATTCAGAGGCTCACAGAACTATGTGGTTGAGTTAAAGCATCATCAATATTTGGATCCTGGATAGGAAGAAAATAGCCACAAAAATCTGATTTGTGTGATTTTTAAAATGGTTTGATTTAAATGTCTGATTTGACACCAACATACACATTATGGAAACCAAAACAGATTTGGGAACACAGGGATCTATATTTGCATTAGTATGTACTAAGGGGTATTTAACTTCCAACACCTTGAAAATGAAAACTATAAAAATAGCCACAAAAATCTTTGACATTCTAACACAAATTTGGAAGGCCAAATTTTATCATTGGATTAATTTATCATTGATGGAATGAAAACCCAACTAGAGTTTGCTCCAAAAGTAGGTGAAATAAAAGAAAAGTCTACTTAGCAAAACGGACAAATTGAGGCCACAAGGGTTATTCAAAATTTGACTTAAAGTCGAGCTTCCATCAGGTGGCAATGCACCCGGAGTCCATAGAATGGATGATGTTTTGGGTACCGAAAGGCCTCTATGAATGGCTGGTCATGCCATTTGGGCTGAAAAATGCCCCTGCAATATTTCAAAGAAAAATGGATGACTGCTTTCGAGGTACGGAGCAATTCATAGTAGTCTACATAGATGACATATTAGTATTAGTATTCTCTGAAAATATGAGGGATCACGCGAAACATCTGAAAAGAATGATCAAGATATGCCAGGAAAACAGACTGGTCCTGAGCCCAACCAAGATGAAAATTGCGGTCCAGGAAATCGAGTTCCTTGGAGTATTTCTCGGTAATTCGAGGATCAAACTTCAACCCCACATTATCAAAAGAATCATGGAATACAATGAAGAAGACCTGACAACAAAAAGGGGCATGAGATCATGGTTAGGGATACTGAACTACGCGAGGAATTATATACCTAACCTCGGCAAATTCCTAGGGCCGTTATACTCTAAGACAAGCCCAACAAAGAAAAGAGGATGAATGAGCAAGACTGAAATAGTATTACAACAACATAGCATTGTCAGTACTATGGATGTAACATAGCAGGTGGCTTTTACTTACTATAATTAAAATCCAAATAGTTATAGCAAAAATAGCATTGTCAGTACTATGGATGTACTTGCAAATATTATTCTGAACTAAAATAACATAGCTGTGGTTTGTGAGATAAAAAGGTAAGAATTATAGCTACCAATTCAAAGAAAAGAAAGCCTTTGAACAATCAGATACAATAGTTACGGTTCATATATAAAGCAAGCTATATTGCTTCCTTTGCAAAGTTGGCCTGTAAACAAATAAAAAGAGTAAAAAGCAAGATAAATAACCTTGTGAAAGATGGCATTGTTGCAAGAACACCAGCACATGCATATATAATTGGTATAAGAGTCCTGGGCTTGTTCTTCCTAAGCCACATCAAGGACCCAAGTGCAGCAAGTGACAGATTTAGCACCTAATATAAGGAAGAAATGAAGAGAATAAGATTATCACAGTGAGAAATATCAAGCAACTTCATCTCCTCATATGTACTATATAATTGCTAACTTGGTTCGCATCAGGATAAAGCAAAAAAATATATTAAAAAATTCTAAGGGCAAACATTTCTCATCCTTTTTTAACACATATTTCTTATCTTTCAACTACCAACACTATCAATTATTTAAGGTCAGCTATTCTTTGGAATATTATAGCTGACCACAAATAATTGGGACCTCACAAGTTGGATCTAAATTGAGAACAGACTATCTACATGTGTTGCAATTTAAAAAATACTGCTGCAGTATAATCTGACAACCCAAACCAAAGTAGTTCATTTCCCACCCATAGTGAAAGCCAATCGGTGCAAAATAGAATCTGCAAATTCCCGTCCTGCATATGGCAAGAACAGCATCATGAGAACCAATAAAACTCATTCTGAAGTAATAAAAAATTAAGAAAAAATGACTGTCATATAACAATACAAGATTAAAGATGGCAGCATAATACTTTTCACAAATCAATAAAGGAATAGTCAGAAATCAGGACCCTTCTAGATTAACAAAAATTAATAGATTGCATATGTGGATTTGTGTCAAAGTTTCAACTTTCAACACCACAAAAATTGTCAGATACTAATGACGAGAAATATGCAATCCTAAGAACGAACAATATAAAAGCAAGTAGATTGAATTCAATACCATTTAAAGACATCAAGGGAATGGAAGCTGATTGAGATTACATAATTTAACAGAACAAGAAGTAGAAAGCAACAAAGTAAGAGTTATTTAACAATGTTCCCACTTCCTAAAACAGAAAAGTATGATGTTAGTATATTATAATTCTGGTATAGTGCCCATATGTTAACGAAAAAGTCAAGGAATGTACCTTCCTCCAGGTCTAATATAAGCATCCCAAGTTCTTCTAACCTGAAAATATGAATTGAATTTTGCAACCATAAGGCTAATAC